TACACACTTGGAATAATCAGTGCATCCAATCATGAAAGACAGGAAACAAAGGAGCCTCCTGAAGTTCAGGAAATGGTGGAGTTGTGCATAGAGCCTATTAACACTGAATCCTATATCTCCGTCCTCCTTAAAGCCAATCACATCGTTTTATTTTCTGACTTAGTCAGGAGAGTTTTTTTTTTCCTAGTTTTGTGCAGCAATGAAAATAAAACCATTTACTAGGTCGGTCTGAGACATTAGGTGTTAAAAACCCAAACATAGCATGTCCTTTTAACGAGGATCCTATTAAAGAATGAGCCGCATTAATTCAAAGAGAAAAGATTATCTGTAAGAAGGTTCTCAGACTGTTTTTAACAGAACTTGATATGAGTGAGAAAACATTGATATGTGGTAACAGAGATATAGAAAACTGTTTAGTCAAACAGGACCAGTCCCATAAAATGGCTTTAGGCTGTGCTTCAGTCAAACTATTATATATCAAAACGGCTTGCCATAGCCTGTTGTTACCGCAGTAAAATTGGTAACTATATTTCTTGAATGGTAGTGGATCTATGTATTCTATTTAGAGGAAATCATCGGGCAGCAGGTGTAGATGAAGTCTAAAAAAGTTCTAATAGATAGGACAGGTTCATCATCCCATGGGGTTCCTCCTCGGTTTGATTCTGTCTTCCATCACACAGTAAATACCAAGTGGCTGTTTGCAGATGCTTTGGATGTTAGCATCCCAATAAATGGTTATTATTACCAGTTATCAGTCCAATTGAATGGCTTCAGATTGTGCCAGTTGGCTCAGTAGGTGTTTAATCACCAAGAGAATCCTATAACCCTGATGTAAATAATTCATTTTTTCCCAGGATTACTTAATCTATTTATGTGTATTGTGAGTTTAGTAGTTCTTCATGAAGTGTAAAAACAAATAAAGTCCACTATGCTCATAGTAAACAAATCAAAAACAAAAAAAATCTCATATCCTGTCATCTTAGTTGTAGAATATTTAATTCTTTGTGAGTTAATGCCGGTAATTCTTCAATAAGATCGTCATCAAACAGACATGCCATATTTGTTTTTAAAACGTAAAGTGTCTAACGGACACAGTGAATTATTATTTTATTTTTATTGTATGCGCAAAACTACGACAAAAATCTCTTGACTAAATAAAGAAATAAAACGCGATTGACCGTAAGGAGAGCGGAGACAGAGGACACTCATTCCCTGAACACAACCTGCTCCCAACCAGGTTAGCGCTGAGGAGAATGTTACTATGGCAACTGAAACAGAGGTTGAGAAAACTCTCTTTGTGAAACGGAAAAGTCACTTCTTTCAGGATTAGAAAACGTACAGTCTTCAGTAAACCTGCTTCTTGAAACGGACTGCATCAGCAGTCGCCATGATAAGTGCTGTCTGAATAGTGCAGCTGGTAAGGAAGGAGGGAGGAAGAGGAAATAGGATGCTTTCTAGCTTCAATCCGTTTGGCAAAAAGACTTACTGTTCCTACCTGTTGCTAAGGAGCTATACGGAATCCCACAGCTCCTTTCTTCACTTGTACTCTGTGGGAAACTTGTTCCCACCTTCATATATTTTGGTTTTTATGACAACTGTTTACTACATTTTTGTAACTTTTGTTTTTTGTAGTTCTTTGTCAGAGGGCTGTAGCATCATCCATGTGCATTTCTGTCGCTTAATGACGTCCATAAAGCTGTCTGGATTCTGTTCACAGGTCCGCAGCTCCTTCTCTTCCCATGATAGAGCCCTTACTGTTAATTCATACGAAACATGACGGGATAGCAGCTATGATTTGCTGTATTCGGACTGAGCCTGGTGTATCTGGGACGGACTGGTGACCTGTGTTCCCTTTCTGTCAGATTAGGTACCATATGGGGATTAATCCATTTATTAAAATGTTTAATCCATGTGGGTTTAAGTAGTTGTTTTAAAAATAAAATAACTCAGATTAAAAATTTCCCCAATGAAATTAGGATGTTAATATTACTGCAGTATAAAGGAAATGGTTAATTCCTGGCTTCCAAACTCTTTATCCATCTAATAAATAGCAGGTTTATGATAGTATTGTTTTTTGGTTTACCAGAAAATCTGTAACGGTGAGAAATGTGACGATTCTAACTTATAACATATTTCTTGTTTAAAGCATTTTTTTCCCGCCATGATTTCATCGTAAGTAGTTTTGACATATTAAGCTACGGTGCTAAAACAGTTAGCTCAATGTTGCACAGTCACTTTAACAGCACAGCTCACCGATTCAGCTGCCTTTTGCACTTTAACGGAGAATTTTAAAAAATGTGAAATTAAACTCATGTGGATCTCTTGCTATGTATAATACAGCATTAAATTATTACAGGGAAACTGAAATCTCTACCTCAGACCTGCGTTTTAAATATGAAGGTCTACCTCTGACGACTGCAAGAAGTACTTGAAAGCCAGACATGTCTGTCCTTTGCACATTTAGTGAAGCTGCTTAAGGAGAAATTTATTTTTTTTACCAAGAAAATAAAAACTGTCATTGTGTCTTTGCATATTTCTTTTCAATAAAAATATGTTATTTGTTCTTTTTTTGACTCAAGTTTCATTTTAATGGTATTTCAGTATTTAGGAAAGTTGGGTTTTGGATCAAGGTAGATGAGTGTTTGATTATTCTGAATTTGATTTTTTTTTGGCCGCTCACACTGAGCCTGGTTCTGTTGGAGGTTTCTTTCTGTTAAAGGGGAGTTTTTCCTCTCCACTGTCGCTACAAGCATGCTTAGTGTGAGGGATTGCATTCAGATCAATGAGTCGACGCAATGAACTGGTTTTCATTAGATAGAAAACTTTGAATAAATTTGACTGTATGATCTGGTGAACTGTAAAGTGCCTTGAGATGACATGTTGTGAATTGGCGCTATAGAAATAAACAATTTTTTTACAAAGGAGTCAGATTTTCTGGCCTCCTGTGATTAAATAAAACAAAGTAAATCATTTTCAAAAAGACAAGTGAAATTTAAAACCCTTTTTAACTGAAATTCTGATTATAGATCATAGACATTGATTTTTTCCCCCCTTATAAAATGTGAATATATCTCCGAAATCATCTAATACTTTGCTTTTTGCAATGTGGTGTTCAGGAAGACCTGGTTCCTTTGTTACTGTCAGGTTGTTCATGTGAACATCAGCAAATCAACATTTCCAGACCAGTTAGTTGCACTTTTTTTTCTCCCCAATATATCTATATTTGTTATAAGTGATGCATTTACAAAACACAGGGGTTCCAAGGCTGATTTATTGCCCCATTTTGGTTTTTGATCCAAGGAAACAGGATCTTGTAGTCATGAAGCAGATTAAAAATAAGCAGTTAAGTGTGTCAGATCTGCCTTATGCTGGAGCAGCGTTCCCCACAGAGGACCCTTTAGGTTCAGTATCCTGCATCTTTTAGATGAGGCTCTGCTTTAACAGGACGGTCAAGTATCCATGTCATTAGCAGGACTCTGGATAACCTGTTTACTGAGGAGTTAATTCTGCAATTTGATTCAGATTTGGAAGCAGGATACTAAAACCTCAAGGATCTGAATTGAGGAAACCTTTTAAAATCAGATTTGTGTGAAAAACAAACACCTAAGCTAAGGTTTCAGCTGAGAAAATTTTACATTTACAATAATGGACCTGTGAAAGTCTGGCTGTTTTAATTTTAAGTGTATTCAACCCAAGAAAAAAAAAATAAGCGGACAGTGATGTGCATTGTAGACATTCAACAGGTTTGATTTTACTAAAGTTTTGTCAATATAATACAAAATAGTTTTGTTTATGCTACTTAAATTTAATGTAAACTTTCTCTTGCAAGAGTCTCAATTTCTCCACAACTTAAAAAAAGGCTTTAAAGTATGGAGGACCAATTCTGCCATATTTAAAATTACAGAAATGAATACATGCTCAATAAATAAACTAATTGCCCCCCAAAATACAATAAATAAATGCAGGTATAAATAAAATATACAGTGAGACAAATTTATACATCTTTTAATTAGCTTCTTTATTTTCCTTGTTAATAATTACCTTATTTGTCCATTATAATCCTCAACACCCCTAATTTGCATAATGAGGCAGAAATATATACAGAAATTTAAAAACAGGCAAATAGCACATAGATTATGACAATAAATGGGTAATTATTACAAAAACAAATAAAGAAGCTAATTAAAAAGATATATATCTTTAAGTCTCATTGTATAATTTAATTTCTGCCTACATTTTTAGGGGCAATTATTGCATGCTTATTTCTGTATCTTTAAAAACAGCAGAGTTGGTCCTCCGTATAAAACATGCGCCTCATTTATCCAATAGTTTGATCTAACATTTACACCAACGCATAAAACGGCCGACCTGATTCAGGAAAAAAATGAATAAAAATACCACATCAAGAAGCGTTTCAATAATCTTTATTCATAAAAAAGTCAAATTGGTTTATATCAGATTAAAGAAAGTATAAACTGACGATAATCAGGTAGCTGGCGAGGCATCTTACAGGGCGGGGGGGTACGTTTCTTCAGACGGACTGACCAGAAACAGGAAAGAAAATGGAAACAAAAATAAACTGAGCTCTCCAAAGAAATAAAATAAAAAATAAGTAAAGTTTAAGGAAAGCGGGACAGGAAGAACTTTGGCAAAACTGATTTTACATTTGTCAGCCTTGAGGTGGCACGGCTTGAACTTAAATAGAAACCCCACCCCGCTTCAGGATGGAGGATCACCATGATTCCCAGTTACAGGAGGCGTTGGAAATCAATCAGGAGGGCAGAAATCATGGTCTCCTGACTCCCCGGGGGAGCAGCGATGCCTCAACGGTTTACTTTGAAATGTAGCTTAGATGTTTCAGTGGTGGAAGTGAGTGTTTGTGGAGATAAATCAGTAACAGGAGGTAGAAGAGGAAGGGTCAAGACATTCTACTGCTCCTGCTGCTACAAAACAAAACAACCAAAATGGGAAAAAAAAAAGAAGAAAAGCTTGACTGGCGATGAAGGTTTCAGTCCGCCTCCTCTTCATCCGATTCAGACTCTGCAGAGAACAAAAACATATTGAAGTTTATTAAAAATAAAAAACAGTCTCTTAAAACTACAGGATTTTTGTGATTCAATCCTTTAACCTTTATTGTTCCGCTTATCCTTCACAACAGAAGCTAATCAGCTTCCTGATGGTTTTAGCTCAGTATCATTGGGACAAACACCAGGTCATGATGCTGCCACCACCATGTTTCAATGGAAGTATGATCTTACCAAGTGCAGATTTTTGATAACTGAACCAAGCTAGGGTGTTTTCTGAAGAAAATGCAAAGTAGATTAGATTTTCTCTTTACTAAGGCTAATTTTGGAACAAACAGGAACCTGAGCTGGTCTCCGTAGAAAGGTGAATCTCCATCTAGATGAACTGGTATCAATGGTTCTGATGGGGTTAAACTAGTGATGGGTCCAGCAACAGCGATGCCCATAGAGCTTAACACTGTATCAGTGTGCGCGTTGGTTTACTGAAAGTCATGTGACCGACACAGGAGTTGTTTCTAACCAACTGATTCACTGTTTAAAAGCGCATCTTTCAACATGATGCATTTGTAAAAAAAAAAAAAAAAAAATAGTCTCATCTTTTGCGGTTTATCATTAAAATTATAAAGACTTTTGGAACAGCTTAAAATGAAAAGGAAAGTTTCCGGGGTTTTTTTATTTTTTCGTGTCATCCTTTCCCTGTTATCACTCAATTTATCTGAAGTTAAAGTTAATTTCAAATTGAGTTTATTTACTGTTTTTACTGTAATTGTCGTTTTAAAAGTAGTCCACAAGTATCCTCAATCATATTTCCCCCTAATTTTCACGTTATGATACATGTTTACATTTATTGGCTGCTTCTATAAATAGCAAAAATATTTTCCATTTAAACAGATCTGAAATATAACCTACAAGAGCTTAAATTATATCTTTGCACTAGATCATCAAATTAATTCAGTTTAGTCTGTCCAATAAGATGCCTGTAGTGTCTTTAAATGTCCAGCAGGTGTCATTATTCTGTGAGACAGTATCAACGCAGTATTGATACAGTTTGGCTTCAAAATGACTAAATAACAACCACTAGGTTAAACTGACTCAGGAAAACTTGCTCTTCACGCTTTAAGAGGAATTGGGAATTTTAAGTTTAAAGAGGTTGAAGGAAAGAGAAGTTTTCCATGAGTTTTGCAGAGAACTAAACGTTTTTTTAAGGGCCTGCATGACATTAGATGAACAAACAATAATTTTTGTTTAAATGGTCTGAAAAGATGCAACAGGAAACTGTTCATTTACCAAAAATATAATTTTCTTTTCAATGCTATAAGGCACCAGGACTAAAGAAAGCTGGGTGGTTTTCTGCATAATATAATGCTGTGATTTCATAAGAATATTATTCTGTTACTGTTTGCAGGTTTCAGCAAGAGACGCCTTTAATTCAGAGACGCTTCAACATGTCCCGTTGGCTGAGTAACTCATTTTAATTTCTTTTGGGATTGAGAAAGCGGGAAATCCTCATTCCTTTAGTTACGTAGATGCAATTAATATGAGTTCATCTTAGCAAAGATGCCTAATGCACGACACGGTTCTATCTCCACTTCCTCTTCAGTTTTATCTAATCAGTTCAGTAAAACAGACCAATGTGTTTTCTTCAAATTGAAAGCAACATGCTTCCATTCCACGAAGTACAGATTTGAACGCCACCAGGCGTCCTGATTCCTTCTACTGAAGGATCATAACTGACTCCAGTGCTCTAAAAATGGAAGTGTGGAGGTGGTTACCTTCCTCGGCGTTCTTCAGCCACTCTACGAATTTCTTCATCTGCTCGAGAAAAACGCTCTTCCCCTTGGCGAGGTGGGCTTCAGAGTACCACTTCAGTATGGCCTCTTCACTCAATACGTCAGCTGGGGGACAGAAGGAGAACAGACGGGTTCAAAGTCTCACAGAGCACAGCATTAACCAGACACACACCAGGTGGCGCGTCTAGAACAGCGTTTTAGGAAACGGGTCACAGCAGAGCAGCTTTAGGATGGAAATAGTTGGGTAAAAAAACGAGAGAGTGACTGCCGACCTTTGTAGAGGAGCACCACGATCTTCTGAAAAGCCTTCATGAAGTGGATGTTATCGTAGCAGTACTCCTGGATCTTCAGCAGCAGGCTGAGCTCAGACAGACCCTGGGAGGTGAAGGCTTTCAGCAGAAGGCTGTATTGCTGCAACAACGAGGAACATTGCTCAGAGTTAAACACAGGGGTTTATACAGGAATGCTTAGGAATACTTTTTATGCCATCAACAAGTACCCTGGATTCAAACACACACCTTCAAGTGTTTGATGGCTTGTTCGGTCACCAGCTCTTCCTTCTTGTTCCACTCTACGCAGCTCATCAGGCTGGTCCAGATGATGCTGATCATGGCCTGCTCAGAGAGGCTGGACTTCTTCATCTCCTCTCTGGTGAAGGCGATGATCTGAGACAAAGACCCCGCAGGTTAAAGCACCGTCACCGGTTTGCTGAATCCCTTAAAGGAATGGTGAAAGCTCACCTCCTTCTGAGGGTCGCCGCGGGACATCATCTCCTGGAGCTCCTTCTGCAGCTCCTTGCGGGCGCCGATGGATTGCTGGTTGCGGGCGAAGTCAGACAGCTCCTTCAGCCCGGCGTCGGTAAAGTACTTAGAAAAATGCTCACAGCTCCTTTTGTTGGCAGGGAAAAGTTCCTGCAGGAAAAAAAAGAACAATGTCACCAAGTAGAAAAAAAACTTTGACAAATTATAAAATCAGCTTTTGTGATGCAATAATTTCATAACTTGTAGATAAAACAAACTTGGGTTCATAAATCCTCTCATTTAAACTCTTCCACCCCTAAAACATTTCAAAATGGTCTGAACAGGGGCTCACGTTTCCACAGCAATTGATTAACAGAATCATCTCGTCATTTGAAGGATTGTGGGCATTTTCATCTCCGACAGTCACGTTCCTTTTTGTTAACACAGAAGGGCTGGGAAAGAGTCCTAAACCCCACGCCAATAGAGCAATCACTAATTCAACCCCAAAAAGGTGAAGGAGATCAGAGGCTGATCAAAAAGTTATACGAGATGTTTTTGTCCATGAACATTAGTGGATCCACTTGGACAAAAAGATGGGAGGCAAAGACAGTATTTCTGATGATATGTGGGAAGAAGTCTGGAATGAGGCACATCGAGCTACAAGCTCAAATAGATGGCGGGATTAAAAACGGAAAATTACCAGGAGATAACAAGTAACAAGTCTGAAACTGTGGCTCTGCAATCCCCAATCATACACATGTTCTGGTCATGCTCCAAATTGCAAAACTTTTGTGACGTGTACAAGGCTTTAAACTAAACCATTCAAGAGGTTATCACCAAGGATGAAATGGTCGCAATATTCAGTATTTTTCCAGTTCGGCTGAAAGGACGAGCCAAATTACAGCGGCCCTGAAATGCATCACAATTAAGTGGAAGCAATCGAGTCGCCTTCCTACAACTCATGGGTCCAAATTGTAAGGGAAATATACAAAATGGAAAAGATAACATACTCCTTAAGACTCCAAAAAAGACATTTTCGGCCAATGCTGGGGTCCTGTGGAAGATTTACTCAAGTAATCAAGTCTTACAACTCAATTTTATTTTATTTTTTTCTAGATTATGTTACATAGACCTTCTGAGGTGAATTCTTGTGCTAGGTTTGTATGGTGAAGCTGAGACCACAATTATGATGCTGAAACTGCAACAGGGTTCCTAAAGCGTAAGGCACGTTAAATTCAACGCTGCTTAAAATAAAAATTTACGACCAACTTGACAATAAACACAAGAAAATTGAGTAGTAACAAATTTACCCTAAATTTTTATTTTAACATAAACCATTACTTTCTGGCCCAGTAGATGCGTTTCCATATAGGAAGAAAGCTAAAAACATCATATTTTGAGGGGAAAAAAAACAGAGTCAAGAATTCTAAGAAGAAAAAAAAATAAGAGTCAAGAATTCTGAGGAAAAAAAGCCAGAATTCTGACTTTTCCCATATTAAACTGAAAAAATGTTTAAAAATCAGTTAACTTTACAGTGGCCCCAATCCTCTTCCGTACCGTACTTTCATCAGTGGCGTACCGCCAAACATTATCTGGAGATTTGGTTCTACTGGTGCTGTTGTTGTGAGAGATGCTGTGGAGGCGTTGCAGAGAAAAGGGTGGAAAAGAACGGAGAAATACCTGCTGCTTCTCCATAACTTCATTTTGACGCTTTAAGTTTCACATGTGTCCCCACTGCTTTGCTTCATCTACATTCCCTGGCAGTGGTTTTAACCATGCAGAAAACTCTTGGATAGCCTATTTTTCGTTGAATTTAAAACTTCGCCATGTTGTCCATTTAAAAAGTTTGTTTTTATTGGTTCCGCTATTGGAATGGGACCAATAATGGTTACAGCGAGCGGTTTGGTAAATGTAAGAAAAATACTGTCAATATTTTATTTTTTGATATGGATTACAAAATGTGGTAACAATTTTAAGATCCATGAAAGACTGATTTAAGACATTTTAATACCAATTGAGGCCTTGATTTTATATTATCTTTAAGACTTTTTAAGGATCTGCAGGAACCCTGTGTAAAACTTCATGCTGGGACAGTTAATCTTTGGCATCTCCGTTTTAAAATCAATAAAATGTAACTCTAATTTCCCCCCAAAAGGATTTATGCTTTTTCTCCCCTCTGCATTTATCCCAACCTGGAGACAAAGAGCCCCATGGGAGATCTCACCATCAGCCTGTTGTCCATGCCCACTTTGCGGAGACTACCAGCAACAGAGTTGATGTCTTTCTCATTGATCCATGACTTGAACAGCTTAACAGCAAAGGCTGCAGAGACGCCTGTAAACAAAGAGGCAGGAAAAAGTCAAACCCAGAAACCAGAAGCTCACCGTTTCGCCATAACACACCAGGGGGGACTCTCACCCTCTTTGACGAGGTTTTCGTTGTAGAGGCTGATCAGGATGGAGGCGGATATGCTGCCGTTAGCCAGCAGGATGCCGGTCAGCATGGCTAGTTTGTTGCGCTCAGACTCAGTGAACCCCTTCAGAAACAGCAGCAACTGCAAACAGACAGAAGTTTAAAAGGTGGACCAACACCCCCAGTCAATGCTATTCTGTTATCATCTGGATCGGATCTAAATGCTGAACCAACTCCTGTGAGGCTGGGTGTCGAGTTGCATCCATAATCCACCTGATCTATAAACAGTTTGTGTTTCAGCCGCAGGCTTCCTGTCTAAACTGCTCAGCTCATGCAGATAACAGATTAATCCCTCTGGTTCTTCCTCACCTTTTTGATCTCCTCTTCGAAACCCTTCTCCAGGTACTTGTAACGCCTGATCAGCTTGTTAAAAACCTGTTACGTGAGAAAACAAACATCATTAACAACGACCCAAAGCTAATATCAATAACAGCAGGGCTGCTTCACTCCATAACCTTTTACCTGAGCATATGCTTGCATTGTCTCCAGGTCTTCCTGCGCCGTAAAGAGGCAGAACTCGGTGCGGGTCATGTCGTCAGACAGAGTCCCGCCGGGGGCTGCAGGAAACGGAAAGCCAAGGTTTAGCTTGGAAACAACATGATAAACATCTTAAAGGTTGACTCTAACCCAGCAATGACTTACCCAGCATCCCGCCGGCCACCAGGATGTCGAACAGTGTCTCTGCATACCGGCGGTAGTCAAGTTTGGCGCCAGAGGCATCAAGGAACTTCGCGACCGCCTCCAAATCACTGCCAGTTTGATTCAAGCCTTGTACGATACTTTCTTGAAACTGAGTAGGGTCAAATCTCTCCTTTTCATCTGAAGGAGAGAAAAAAAACAAACAGATGCGTTTAATCAGATGTACAGAGAAGGAAGGCCTCCAGGAGAAAAGAAGATCTGCCAAGACGATAGACATTACCTCTTTTCCTCGTTTTGAAACGCTGGCCGGTTAGCGTTGGCTTTTGCTGCTTTTGATTATTCATAAAAGACACCTGGGAAGAGTGAAAGATGGTGGTTAGACTCCAATTACACAAAGGATGCATCTGAAAACTTAAAGGCAGCAGATTTTAGATTAAAGTGTGAAACATCTCTGATCACAGTTTCAAAATAAAGGAAAATGCAAAAGACTAGGATGTGTCATTCACAATGACGACAAACTGAACTGGATGCTCCCTGTGAAACACAGATGGAAATTTATCAGAATGAACCACCAATAAGTTGAATTAACTCAAGATGTGGGCAGGCAGAGGAGACACCAAGGGAAACCAGAACTTCCTGCCTGGAAGATTCGATCACTGCGCCTCTAATGCATAAGACTTCAACCAATCAGCTTTCACAGCGTTTTACGGGCATAAATCCAAAAGTTTCTTTAATTTCTCAGTCACTGTGATTATTAAATTCTGGCTGCAAAATATGCTAAATTGTTAATCCAATAATTATCGCTTTCTAAAACCAAGGTTTTCAAATCAGACTGATTATTATTATTATTATTATGACAGCAAACAAACACTCCCAGATAAAGCTCTTCAAAGCAATAGAGTGCTTTGAAACCTACAACAAGTATGCCAGCTTGACAGCTGGATGCTTACAATTATTAAAAACAGATACTTTAGCCTTTCCATTTTGATCATGTTTGCTCCGTTTTATTTAAATAATCTGTAATAACTATAAGCTGTTTCTACTAAAATTCAAACCAAGATATTAAGTGTATTTTTCAACCAATTAAAAACCTATTTCTTAGAGCAACTCTGTAAAGTTGCTCTAAGAAATAGGTTGCATCTAACAGTGTTTAAGTGTTGGCATCTAAGATTACTAATATTAATAAGAAGAAAGGTACAACAAATTAGATAATTTAGCTGATTTAGATATTATTAAGCCAAATGATAAATACTAACTAGTTTCTTAATGTTTGGACTTTTAACGAGACTTGGTCTAATACCCTAAACAAGGAGTCTTCGATGTTTTCCAGGCCAAGGACCCCCAAACTGATGGCGAGATGGAGCGGGGACCCCCTAAAAATATCTATTCTATGAAATTGTGTTCTATCAAACTGGCCTTATAGTCACTCTATTACAGATGGAGTAATTTAACGAAAGTAATGTCTCCCTGGGATTATTAAAGTATTTCTGATTCTGATTCCTGGTTGATGGGACAGGTGTGGTGAATGAAACGGTGCCCAGATTGAAAGAGCTCCTGTGCGTCACTGAATGTGTGCATTGATGACTGAAAGACATCTTCTGCCTCCATTTATCTTTTTACTACAGTGTGTTTAATTCATGTTAATGTGGATTTAAAGACATTTCAATTAGTGTAAAACATTGCAGGGGGGAATATAAAATAAAAGGTTTAGGTTATAGCTATTCTATTCCTGTTTGACCTCTTTTCTCTGGTTAATTAATCTCAAAATATAAGTCATGTTCTTTGAATTTTAAATGTTAATTCATATTTCCAAAAATAGACAAATGCTTGTTCATTATTAGATATTTTTTGTGTCAAATCTTGATATTCTTTGTGACTTTTTGAAGAACTAAAAAAAAAAGTTAAGAGTCGTTTCTGTTCTTACTATTAAACTTATTAGAGCAACAACAACAATTTTTTGGTAAGATTCTAATGCTAATGTGTATTTAAAGACATTTCAATTAGTGGAGAAAATTGCAGGGGGGAATACATAGAAAAATGTCTAAACCAAAACTTTCTGCTCTAAACAGATACTTATTTTTTTTACAGGTTTTTAAATGTTCTCCCAGATTTAATGGATATTTTCCATATACCTACACAGTGACATGGCATAAACCCAACGCTGTTTCCGTTTAATGTGAGGTTGTAGTATGTACAGGTGACAGATGTCCCCACCTGATCACAACATGGCCCCACACCTGCGATCTCAAGTGGAGTTTGCTCTGTTCTCATTGTTTCTAAAAGCTCTTTCCACCGTCAATGCTTCTAGTAAATATATTTAACGTAAATTAATAAGAAACAGTGATTTAAAAACATTTTTTACTATTTCCCAGCGTGGATGTCTTAGAGGCGATGCTTTTAAACCGCCGAACAAAAGGAAGAAGGTCCAGACAAAAGGCGAAGCTGGGAGGTAAAATGGAGCTGGTGGGTGTTGGGTCGTGATTTCGATCTACGTGATTTTTTTCGGCGTTTACATAAGAAATGACGCGAACCAGACGCGAGGACAGCTCAGGGGCATCCCTGATCCATCTAATTAGTTATAATCTGGGATCATTTTAAAACCAAAGTCGGCTAACTGGAGAGGGATTAGCCCGGGCTAGCTCCGGGCCTCACCATGCGCAGGGCCGCTGCTCCATAGCCAGGCCTGCTAGGCTACTAACCCGGCATAAACCGCCACTAAATTCCGCTTCCCATGCTTATTCATACATATAAAACTGTTTTACATCCAAGCACTACCTCTCCGCCAGATGCCACGACCAGGCGTGACGTTTTAACGGTAAACGTCTTAAATATAGTGCTACTGCGGCTAATGCTAATAGCAAGCTAACTAAACTGGAGGAAACAGGATTCGCCCTCCGGCGGAGCAAAAAACCCAGACTCTGAAAAAATCCTTTTTAAATTATTACAACTACAGCATTAACATGTCACTGGGCCGACTGGACAGCCCGTGATTTGGATTATGGCTGACAGCGGACACTAAGAGTACTTACCGAAATTAATGCAGATAAAAAACGGTTGTGAACCAGGGGAAGTAAAGCAAGTGTCGTCTCTCACAGCGGCCCAAACAAAAAGACCTTCCCGTCAGGACTCCAGATAGCTCCGCCCACTGCGCATGCGTACAGAGAGGAAGAGGTACGTCACAAAATATAGGCCCATTTTGAACAGTGAAAGGGAGGAAAATTTAAAAAAAAAAAATGATTTATTTTTAATATAGATATTAAAATTAAACCTATAACAAGAACAAGTATCACAGCTAGGCAGCTGGATGCTTACAATGACAAAAACACCCATACAGACCCCATCAATTTGCATCAAACCTCAAAATTAACGTTTAGTTTTAAATCTGTCTATTTTTTATGTACAATGTAAATTGATATGATCAAATTCTTTACAGATTTTTTAATTTTTTTCTTGACTTTTTGGCTTATTTCAATATTTCAGATCAATCTGACAGAGACTGAGTCTAAAAGTAACTATTTATCAAGTAAGAATTTTTTATATATTCTTTGCTTATTTTTTGGCATATAATTCAAAAACCTTAGAGCAATGTATTCATGAAGTATAGATGTAATAAAAACTCAAAGATGCCATTTTGAAAAAATTGTTCAATCATAGCTGATTTTGAATGATTCCGGTGGGAAAAACTAAACA